CAAGTTTGGCCATTTGTGGTCACAGCGAAGTGATACCATTACAAATTTCAATGGAAAAGGTACTTCCACCAGTCAGTCGGTCCACACAGCTGTCAACTGTGCGGACGACCATCTATTAAATCTTCAGATATGTCAGTGGTGTTCGCATCCAGACTGGCGTCGCGGCACCGCACCACGATGATGACAATGCGCCTCCTTTTCCTTTGCCAAAGCGATGATGAAGACCAATGCTCCAAATAGCAAACCAAAATAGTAGCAGCCAAATGCCATAGATATACTCGTACTCCTTCAGATTTGATTGATCTTCATGTGGATCACTTTGTGGATGCCTAGCTGAAGTTTTGTGAACCCTTTTCGAGAAATGCTTTCTTTTTTCTTCCCTGCCCCTGTGGTGTTCCTTGATAGCTGCGGCATGTATCAATTGCCACTGTTGCCAGTGAATGAAGGAGAGGGTACTTTGGCATCTGACTAACTTTTAGTGACAGCTGACAGACAATGAATGACATGTTTAGGCTAAGCTAATGTCAAAGCACAGCAAAACATGCATGGTCAAAGGAAAATTCTAGCCACAGCACCTAACCCTAAAATGTTATATTTTTTAGGAGATCATCATTTGCGGGAATATAGATCAAAAGCAATTCATTTATCTTTATTTTCTTTCAATCTTCTTCATCCGTAAATTCTTTTCCAATAAAATTTAATGGAATAAAATTCAATTTAGAAATTAAAACAAAATATTTTTGTTTTTTTTTTTTTCTTGTAGATACTACTATTGACTATCATCCAATTTTTCGTATTTACGTCCTTCTGCAATCAAATGATCGACGCCGCTTAAATGAAACTCCAATCACAACATCTTTGATCCAACTGATCTACAAAAGTCAAAAGCATTCGAATTTTATGTAACCAACAGAGATGTTGTCAGTCGTGTAAATGTATGTGCGCAGTTGAGTACTGTTTTTTGTGAGTAATTTTAAAAACGTGAGGCAATTTTAAGTGTGTCTCTAAAAGAGAAAACATTTAAGTTATACTCTTTGCCAATACAACTGTACGGAGAACAAAGTAAATAAACCTGTCTCCCTAACAAACGATCCAAAGAGAAGCCCACGTGAAATGATTGTAGAGAATATATAAAATTAAGGTATGACAAATATAGACATGGTTCTCTGCTGGGTATGTTATTTGTTGCCTTCAGGATATTTCTTTCTTTAAATATTCTATGTCAAAATGAAAATTTGGACAAAAAACCGCGCTAAACAATGACCTTTTAGAGAAGCGAGAAGATGGGTATCTCCCCCACATATCACCAAATTTTTTAAAAGTAATAAGTGGAACGAAGTTCAATTATTAGTACAATTATTTTCAAAATTGTAGGTCAAATGCTTAAATGAAAAATATGGGATACATTTTCTGATGATTCCCCCACGAAGAGACACACCATTTTGAATAGGCATAAATGGTGAGATAAAAAACTGCAACAAACTCAAACACCATAATTTTTACATTTTTTTAATTTTATCGAATGCAAGCAAAAAATGTCGGAAATAGCATCAAATTTTAGAATAAGTTTAGATTTGTCCAAATTGGTCACCTTTGGCACGAATTGTGGCCTTCAAAATGTTTGCTTGCACAAACCTTTAATACACCCTCCAGAATAATTTCGAGATAATAATCGGCATTTATTCTGATGCCATGGTCGATTAATACGAGCGAAGAGCGACCATCGTTTGTTATGGCGGCCCACACCATCACCATGGCCGACGCTTGCGTTCTGGTGACCAGCCGAAGGTGCACATTTTCAGCTGGCAAGTAAACACGGTCATTTTGTTTGTTTACAAACTGCTGGGCAACGAATGTTCTCTCATCGGAGAAAACCAAATTCAGCAATTCACCACTTTCGGCCAAGCGAAGCAATTCTTTAGCTCTTTTGAGTCTATTTTCTTTCTGTTTCGGTGTTGCACTTTTTGGAATTTCAATGGCTTCACCCTGAGCTCATTTTTCAATATTCGTCGAATGGAATATTGCGATATGTTCAGCTCACGAGCCATTTTCAGCCACTGCGATGCGGGTGATACTACCAGTATCACGGTAATGGGCGATAGTACGAGACACAAAATATTTATTCACATTTAAATCCTGGATTGCTCTAACGATAGCCATTTGTGGATTTCCAGTCAAATATAAAGAGTGTCACTATCACGCTTGAATTCCATTACGAATAACTTTTTTCTGGAAAATTCACAAAAAAATGCTTTTGGACGCTTGTAAACAATGTAATGAGCTGTCATAGGAATAATTTAAACAGCTGTCGGACGAGTGGCTTAGAAATGACAGAAGTCTGAAGTTGGTTGTAGTTTTTTCAGCTCACCCTAATTCGCATAAAATTTGAATCTTCTCTTCGATTTCTCTTAACTTTGTCCATCCATATATTTCCACCGTTTACTCCTTTTGGTACCTGCCAGAAATGTCTAATTTGTTTTAATTCTACATAAATATTTTATTATTATTATTATTATTATTATTATTATTATTATTATAATTATTATTATTATTCTTATTATTATTATTATTATTATTATTATTATTATTATTATTATTATTATTATTATTATTATTATTATTATTATTATTATTATTATTATTATTATTATTATTATTATTATTATTATTATTATTATTATTATTATTATTATTATTATATTATTATTATTATTATTATTATTATTATTATTATTATTATTATTATTATTATTATTATTATATTATTATTATTATTATTATTATTATTATTATTATTATTAGTATTATTATTATTATTATTATTATTATTATTATTATTATTATTATTATTATTATTATTATTATTATTATTATTATTATTATTATTATTATTATTATATTATTATTATTATTATTATTATTATTATTATTATTAGTATTATTATTATTATTATTATTATTATTATTATTATTATTATTATTATTATTATTATTATTATTATTATTATTATTATTATTATTATTATTATTATTATTATTATTATTATTATTATTATTATTATTATTATTATTATTATTATTATTATTATTATTATTTTATTATCAGTATTTAAGACAAAAAATATTTTTGGCAGCGAATTTTGACAGTATTCTCCGATTTTATCACCTTTGTCGCAAATTAGGCGTATGATTGATAATTAGGTTTTGGTTAAGTATACGCTGTCAACATGAATTGAGTTTATATCCTAGTCATTCCTTCGTCGTTTAAGGATTATTGTTCCATCAGAGCATAAAAAGCCTTTTGAATCATAACACCCAGTTGAGGCATTTTCCGTCGACCTTTAATATTGCGTTTAGCTATTTCTCCCAAGTAATTCCAACTAATTCTCTTAGAGCCGTTCTCTTTACCATTTAACTCACAACGGTTTGCATTTGCCTCCTTCTCTTTTCCTAAATTAAATTCAACTGAGAAATTGGGTCTCACTTACTCTGTACTCTACGTTTACGTTTAAGTGAGCACAACTATTTTCCTCTCAAACTCTATGTATCTCTTGCAATTGATCTTCTCACACAAAAACAACAACAGCGACAACAACCAAACAACCGCACAACGACGATAAACAAAAGCATGCTACAAATACATGTTGGGCGGAAGATACTCCACCCAATTTCGGATGCAAAAAAGTAACAACTTTTAAATGGAATGCCAGCCAAGCCAGCCAGTCAACCAGCCAGCTACGTAGCTAGCAGGCAACCATCAAAACGTGCTCCAGCCACCTCTGTTGTCTTTGGCTGCTGTGACGCAGATGTGGCAGCAGACAACAGTCGAGCAGAGAGTTCGCCCCATAGTTGGCTGTTGGAGCAGCCAGCCAGCCAAACTGAATTACGACGACGAGACTACAAAAACAGTTAACTGAATAACTGAACATTCATGACTTTGGCTATGTGCTGTGTGGTGTGTTCCTCGTGGGGTCTTGTTGTTGTTATTGTTGGTTGGCTGATCGGTTTTGTTTGGTTCATTCATTCATTGACTAACTGCTGATGATGGTTTTGGGGATTTGTTTGTGGGGTAGCTGGGGATGGCTGGTTGGAAGGATGGAAGGAAGGAAGGCAACCAAAAGGGAGTAGTGGCTGGCTGACTGGCTGGCGCGCACAAATGTTTTGGGTGATTTCGATGATCTTTTTTTCGTTGTGTGCCAGCAAAAAGGATGGCTGGCTGGCTGGTTGACTGGTTGGCGGCTTGTAAGCTTCTGCCTCGGCTGGTAGAGCTTCTTAAGCGTTGGCGTAGCCATTGGCAGAGGCAGTACGTAGTATTAGAAGTTGTGTGGTGGTTGTTATTATTTTGTAATGATGCTGTGTTGCTGGAGATAGATGGATGGTTGGATGGCTGGCTGGTTGGATGGTTGGTTGGCGGGCGGTTTTGGTTGCGCTTGATTTGAATTGCTTGTAATTGTAACAGTTTTATATGTAAGTCGTCTGCTTGTGCTACACCTTTCCGCTCTCGTTGCAAACGATGATGATGGTGGTGGTGGATGGATGGATGTTGGAGCCGTGTTCGTTTGTTCGTTCACTCGTCGTTGTCTTCTTCAATTCTGTTTGCTTCGAATATTGTGGCTGCGGCTAACTTCTGACTTGAGATGAATAGAAGAAGGTTTATTTTTCGTCGTTTGTAAGCCATGATTGCGAGCGCGGCTGGTCTTTGACGTTGGCTGCTCTGCCATGACTGTGTAGGTAGGTAGGTCGGCTGCTTGGTCGATCGCTTTGTGTGTGCTGCAGCGCGCTCTATGTAGCTCCTCAACTGATATTCACTTCATAGTTGATCTCGTTCGGCATTGTCGTCGTTGTTGTTGTTGATTTTGTTGGGATGTGTGCTGAGTCTGTTTTAGTTTTTTGTTGTGTTTTTGTTCCAGTGAGTTTTGTATTTTGTTTGGGGTAAAGCTGAAGCGTTAAGATTGTTATGAATTCAGTACTTCATCACGTACCTGTAGAGAATGGTCGTCATTACGGGTTATAATCCAGTTGTTACACATTTTGTTGAACTTAGAAACCGAAAACTGTGGAAAACCTCTGCGCTTTGTTGCATTTGCATTGGAGTGATGAGTGTGGTCGAGTGCGCATCGAGTGAATGAATGAGCGTCGTGCAGGCAAATTTGCAATTGGTCAAAATAAAATCAAAACAAAAAACTGAAACAAATGTCAAAACCGATTCTAGGGGAAAAAAGTATTGAAAATTAAAAAACAAAAAATAATTAAAGCTTAAAGAGCGCCTTTCTTCCACCCTCTTTCCGGCTGCTGTAACAACAAACGAGAGTGAGCGTAAATACGTTCGTGTGTGACGGACGGACGAACGAACGGGTGGTGCAAATGATGATCGTGACAAAAATAAAGCGAGCACATTTAGTCAGTCTATCATTTCGCGTTTCATAAAGAGGATATTTAAAACGGATAAAGGCAAGAAGATTTCAATACGAAAAGAAGAAATAAAAAATATTCGAACAAAAGAAAAGGAAATTGAATTTTTAGTGGAGGACAATTAATTAAAATTTGCAATAATTAAAAAATTCTTGAAAATAAAATAATCCTCTTTTGTGGTGCTCTCAAACTCTAACCAACAAGTGTAAAAAAAGGAAATCGACCACAACAAAATAGTTCCCATGCATCTGAACCGGACCAACGGATATGCATAATAAACGCAAGAAACCCAATAAAGATTGCCGCCCATAAATAACGGTTACCCAAGTGTGCGTGTGTCCGAGTGTAACTTCCAACTTCCGGAAAAATATGTTTGTGACTCGATTTGCAGCTACATTATCTGCACTTAACAAACACATCTCAAGGATGCCCCTCTTAAGCTAATGAAAACTCCCCGCAACCCCCAACAGCCCATCAGCCCCATAAAAGAAACACCTGTAGTGCAATTTTTTTCATATTTTCCTGTTGAAGATTGTCCCCCTCCAGACATCCTATTCAAATAACTGCTCTTCAGCTCTTGTGAATCCGCGAGTGTTTTACGTTTTTCATTTTTTTGTTTTGCAAAAGCGGATATCCGTTAAATCATTCTCTCTATTCCTACAACACTGCTAAACACAAGAAAATATTAAAAAAAAAAATAAAAACAAACCAACCAACCAAGAAGGAAAGCACGAAAGAAAAAAAAGTTCACAACGAAACCCCAGTGAAATAGTGGTGCTATTATCATTACCGATAGTTATTGAATAATCAGGCTGAGGCTCCCAGCTCTCTTAAATAATTTATGCGGATATTTATAATTTGCATGTTGTGGAAAATTGATCGTCGTCAAGAGACATCATCATCAACATCATCTTTGCTGTCGTCTAGCTCAACAATAACAACAACCATCATTTTTCCGTTTACGTTCCTGTCATCCTCCACAATTCTGCTTTCTGCTGATGTTCCTGTTCTGCCCGGCTTCCATGAAAGAATGTAAGTTTTCCACACCTCTTCATCTCTTTATCGATTCCCCCGACGTCGTTCCATCACCCTCCTCATCGCATTGTATTCACAATTTGTTATTCCTCACTATAACGGTACATTTCGATTAGAAGAATTTAATTTTTTTATGCAAATTTTCCGTTTCAATATAACAATAACAGCAACAACAAACCGCAAGGGCGGATATAAAAACCGTGTTGGCTGGCTTTATGGAAATTATATCGGAATTTTGTTTTCGTTTATTTTTCCAACGAATCAGAGGGCATTTCGTTCTTCTTTTGTCTCTATGCGAGCATAGGTGTGAGTGTGTGCATGCATGCATGTGTATGTGTGTGTGTTTGGTGTTATGAATCTCCATGGATATGTGTGTGTGAGTGTTTATGAGTAGAATTTGAAATATTTATGGTGACATGGAATTGATGTCATATGTAAAATTGTTATGATTTGTCCATGAATATGTGTGTGTGCGTGCGTGTGTTGTCTGTTTGACAGAGGATGTTATAAATCTTTTTCATGGCACAGCTATGTGGAGCATGGAGGCAGTTCTTGGCAATTATTAAGAAGATATTTAAGGTTAGGTTAAGTCCTTAATCAATGAAGAGAACTTTGCTGCATAATTTGTTCGTAAAGTAAAATTCTAAGGGGAGTGAAGATTGTAACAAGGAAAGTCCCCACTCTCCTCAAATCAATAAAAAAATAGATAGAGATGCATTCTTTTATTAACAGAACTGTGACGTTTTCATAAGCTTAGGAGAAAACATATAAGTATATATTATTCTGATCACTCCAAAAAATAATATAAATAGACAATTTGGCTATGACAACTTTCCTTAATTCCTTGATGATATTTGAAGATACCGACCGAAATATTTAAAAAAAATTGAAAGGTCAAAAAAAGTATTTTTATTTGTTTATTTATTTATTATTATTATTATTATTATTATTATTATATTATTATTATTATTATTATTATTATTATTATTATATTATTATTATTATTATTATTATTATTATTCTTATTATTATTATTATTATTATTATTATTATTATTATTATTATTATTATTCTTATTATTATTATTATTATTATTATTATTATTATTATTATTATTATTATTATTATTATTATTATTATTATTATTATTATTATTATTATTATTATTATTATTATTATTATTATTATTATATTATTATTATTATTATTATTATTATTATTATTATTATTATTATTATTATTATTATATTATTATTATTATTATTATTATTATTATTATTATTATTATTATTATTATTATTATTATTATTATTATTATTATTATTATTATTATTATTATTATTATTATTATTATTATTATTATTATTATTATTATTATTATTATTATTATTATTATTATTATTATTATTATTATTAGTATTATTATTATTATTATTATTATTATTATTATTATTATTATTATTATTATTATATTATTATTATTATTATTATTATTATTATTATTATTATTATTGTTATTATTATTATTATTATTATTATTATTATTATTATTATTATTATTATTATTATTATTATTATTATTATTATTATTATTATTATTATTATTATTATATTATTATTATTATTATTATTATTATTATTATTATTATTATTATTATTATTATTATTATTATTATTATTATTATTTTTGGAAAACCTGTATCCTAACTACAACACTATGTGTTAGGGGTATTATAAATTTAATTGGGTTTGATGTAACACCTCGAAATATTGATTTTCCACATAGGAAAGTATATAAGGATCTTCCTATCTCGCCAAGACGAGTCGATCTAGCTATGTATGTCCGTCCGTCTGTCCGGCTGTCCATGTTAATTTGTAATCAAGCTACAGATCGCAATTATGAACCGATCCTCACAAAATTAAAAATGGAGGTAGGGTTAGGTTCAGAATATTGTTTTTGGAGATGATCGCATTTTTAGGGGTTGAAATGCGCCAAATTGGAAAGAAAATTTTCCTGATTTTGCAGTCGCTCTATAGGCCACAATTCAAAACTAATCGACACGGAATTTCGCATCAGAAGAGAGTTTAGGACAGGGAAGAAATCTAGCATTTTTGATGAGCATTGGATTATATTTAGCTGTAAAATCGACCACAACTTTCGTATGAAATTGTTTTGAATACTTAACAACACTACGGAATTCGTATATATTGGCCAAATTCTCCGGTTCAAAAACCTAAGGGTAACTTCTGGGCAGAGCCCTTTGACATTATTTCAAAAACGAAAACTTCCAAAATGGATTTGGATATAAGTGGACTTCGAACATATTGTAGTGTTGGTCAATACCCACATAATAATTTAGTAGTTGAAATGCCGACGGCAACAAGATGTGTGTCCAATGTACATATGTGAGAAGGTTTCTACAAACAAAAACAAGTCGTGTTTGATATATACTCTTAGTGTGGCATCGTTTTATGGGTGGATTAACATAAGGAATCGACCAATATATTTTCAACTCTCTATGTTAAATTTATGATTTTTCATATTATTAGAAATTTTTGGGATAGGTACCTGATCATCCAGAACATCCTTGTTTTTCAAAAACATTGCGATGTGCCATTTTTGACAGCCTTCTGATGCGTAAATTTTTTCATTCAGAGCTCCAAATAATTATTATTTTATGATTATTATTTTAGGATGTGGTTTACGTGATATTAAATTTTCCTGGTCATATATAACCGTGGCTCCGTATTTTGAGTATTTTTATGGCTCGGTTCGGATTTTCAAAAAAAAAAAAAAAAAAATAGTGGGCAATCACATAGTATAAAAAATATTTATATAAATATATTTGATGTAACCTCCATCGATTAGAAAAAATTTTAAAGTTTTAGACATTTTTTGAAGCCTAGTTAAATATAATTTATATCATAAATTTCAGGATTAACACTACTAGCCAAAATCTCCAACGGAATTTAAATAAGTCTTGGCACGTAAAGGCCATATATCCATTTTCAAATCAACTTACCTATAATTTGAGCGTTATAAGTTAACGTGGACCCATCTATTCCTTTTTAATATGCAAATTCCCTCTTGTATCGTGCGAGCTCTTTCGTGATTTCAACAGACGGACACTCGGTAGGATATGGCTAAATCATGATTTTCTTATTATCCAAATAGTCGGTTTTAATTTCGTTTTTGTTGTTTCTTAAAAAAACACGTTTAAATATAAGTAGAGAATAATATGTATACTTTATGGAATGCATGATATATATTTAGGAATGCCGAATTGAGACTGCTCTCCATTCTATGTTGAAGGGTACAATATAGTTCATTTTATACCCTCCACTATAGTATGGAGGGAATATTAAGTTTGTCATTCCGTTTGTAACACCTCGAAATACACATTTTCGATCCCACAAAGTATATATCAGCATAAAATTGCCATGTCGATTTAGAGATTTCCATCCATCTATGAAATTTCCATCCATCTATGAAGTTCCCAATGGGTACTGCAGTCTACACCAGAAAATTGTCTATGCAAGTCGAGGTCTTCGTATAGGTTCCATATATCAGTACATCTCTATATTCGGTATTTTGACGATTTAAAGTACAATTGTTTTAAATTGCGTATTTAAAGTTCGTAATGGATGATACATCGTGTGACAGAAAATTGTCTATGTAGGTGCAGGTCTTCGTATAGCTATATATTCGGTATTTTGACAATTTTAGCTACATTTTTCAACGGTATGGTCTAAAAATGCATACTAGAAGTTCTTCCTTTACCACCTAGAAGAAAAATGTTTATATTGGTCCACGATAACGTATAACCCACATAGAAGGGCCCCCCGATATTCGATATTTTGACAAATTAATGGACATTTTTTACGGGAGTTGTTTTAAATTTTGTATTTAGAGATCTTAAAGGGGATTACATCCTATGACAAAAAAATGCGAATGCAGGTCACGTCTTCGTATAGTCTTCATATAACGGTACCTCCATATATTCGATATTTAGATGATTTTAGCTACATTATTCCCTAGATTTTTTTTCAAGTTTCGTATTTGAATACGGTATTCGTATTCGTATATGAATGGCTTATGGCAAAAGTTGCCAATGCAGGTCTATGTCTTCGGTCCAAACGGTGGAGCGTATTCAATTCGGGTATTCGGCCTGGCCGTACTTACTGCTTTTTTCTTGCTTCTATTTGTTCATATACGCGGAAAATATGTAGATCGTACGACAAGGGAAAAAAGTATTTTCAATATTCTTAAGGTTTTTTTTTAATTCAATCAAAATTAAAACACTATTTTCAGGCTATTGTGCGTTTTAGAAAAGTAAAATTAGTTTATTCATTTGTTCTAAATCCCATAAATATATTGAACTAAATTTTTATTGCGAATCAGTATTTTTCTATGATTTTTGCTTAAATAAATCGATTTCATGTGCAACTTATTGTCTTCAATTCGCAATTTTTATTTTATTTCTAATAGTTGTTTATTTAACTAATTAGGTAGTAAGACGCATTTTTTACACTCTGCAGGAGGATGTTTGATGCATTATAAATCACTATAGACTAAAAGTATACCATTAAATACCCAAATACTATATTGTATTACCATTCACTCGTCGCTACTCCCCTCCCTGGTGTGATGATTGAAAAGTGAATCTGATGTTATTCAATTTGTTCAACATTTATTTCCTGCTATCGCATCTCAAGATCGCCGAACATTGAAATAATTCAATTAAATACACATGTGCAAGCACTAATTGTCCAAACTAAATGGGATGGTATTTATTTAATGAATTCATATCAGCGGGGCAAGATGGCTGGCAGGTGCGGCGTGGCGTGACGCCGCGATGTGATGAAGATTGCATTGCAAATCAGACCCTTTCCATCCACCAACCTGCCAGCCAAGGCAACTTAATATTGATGTTTATGGCAGTTTAATGTGATTTGTTTTAATTTACTTTGTTTGCCTTAAATTCTTAAATAGAGTG